CAGAGGTGCATATACAGCACCACAAAAGTATGAGCTATCAAGCCCATTGCAATCCAGTTAAATTTCAGTGTTTTTATAACTTTTCTCTTCAAAGGGCCAGATTCCTTCTCATCCCAGCTCTGACTACATTTCCACTGCCCCTCGAAGCTCCAATGACTCCTGGCTTGGGCATAGAGCTGGATCTTCTCTCTCTCTCTCTCTCTCTCTCTCTCTCTCCATTCCCATGTCCCCCCCATCGCTCCCTCACTCCTCTGTTTATCTTTCCCCCTTCCCCAACGGTTCTCTGTTTCCTGTCGGGCCAAGCCGCCTCTCGTGAGCCAGTGCTTCCAGACAGCTGTAAAAAGAGCAGGTCTCGCTCCCTCCCTCCTGCCTTTCTTTCCATTTTTCCTCCCAGCTTTCTTCCAGGTTCACTCCCTTCATTTCTACCTCTCCTCTATACTGCTGCCATGTTTCCCTCCTTTTTCAGTCTCTCCTTTCCTTATGCCCGGCCTCAGACTCACTCACTTCATTCCTCCACCTTTATCACAACTGCCCTCCAAAATTTCTCCATATTGTTCCGCCATTTTGCCCTTCTGCTTTCTTCCACTGCCAAATTCTTTGTTGTCCTCCTGTTTTCTTTCGATTACTCCCTTCTGCTATTTCTTTACTTCTGTTTCTACTTTTGTCCCTTCGTCTTCCCTCTCTGTTCCCTCGTTCCCTTCCCCCCCATTCTCCCTCTCAGCTTCAGTTTCACAGCTTCTCTTTGGGCCTCTGTTTTCAAATCTTTGGCTTGCTTATCTCAAGCGAGATCATCAGGGCAAGTTTAAAAGCCCAAGTTACAATTTATGGACAGGAAGTTGGCATTCCTGCACGTTTGAGACACAGACAAACATCAAAAACTGCTTGGCACCCTTTCTGAGCAAGCAGGCCTGAATTCCTGAGTGGTCACGTTCCTCTCCCAGAGTGACTGCTGGCAGTGCGGTCGGTCCTGGTAAAAAAAAAAAAGTCAAGAAACAGACACGATTGGCCACCCTAAAGAAAGAGCTCAAGAGAATCAACATACCACCACACCATCGTACTAGAAAGCCGTGTTGAGCCGACCCCAACACTAACCAGGGGGCTGAATTTCCCTATTTTCCAGACAGGAGAACGTAACCAGCTGGCTCAGTTGGGAAAAACAGAGGCCAGGCCTGTCAGGCCAGTCATTTATCCCACGACGTCAGTGTGAAATTACCATCTCAAACCGTCAGCCAGCAGGCCCCCCCCAAAAGGGAAAAAAAGGGTGAAGAGGCCCAGGAGTGGGGATGGGGGCCGGGGAGACAGGAATGGGGGGGGGGTAGTGATTGAAGAGGAAAAAGAAACCCTCAGTAAAGAGAATAAGCAGAAACACTGAGAGAAAGGAATGTAATTCAAGACTGAGAGCTGTCCTGGTGGGCAGAGGATAAGTCTGGCCTCTGAAGTTTCCGGAAGGAATTGCATTCACTTTCTCTTTATCGTATTATCCATGGGGGGGGATGAGGGGGAGGGGCACGGCAGACTGAGCAGAAAGTCATAAGAAAGTCCCTCCAGCTTGAAAGCATTGCTGCTTGGGACATGATCGTCGGTGAATTTTTCCATATGCCACAGCCTCCGCCAAACATACTGAGTTCGCTGCTGCCGCTTTAACAAACAGTCTGGTGTCTGTCACTGTCGCGGGCAGCTGGAGACGACGTTTTACCCAGGGCTCCATTCCATACTTCCAAACCAGTCTCCTTTGCTGAGTGGCGCATACTAAGGCACGGTAAATAAGACGTTCCGGAAGATTCCTGATCCTGCATCTCAACCAAAATTTCCAACCCTGGCACGCAAAGGCATGTAAAAGGAGCGCTCCAGAGTTTAGAAAAGAAGGCGACTGTGGGAAAAGTCAGGCCAGCCCGGGCTTGCACACAGCCAAACCTGCTTGCTCCGCGACAGGAGTTTAAGAAAGCAGTACAATTCTAAGCAGCATCTCAATGCATGTCCCGTGGATGTGAAAGGAATCCTTGAAAAACTCAAGCCTTGTTATGTAAGGTCTCCTCTCAACACACGTTTGTGTTTTTACTTGTTTAGCGCTTCCTCGTAACACTGTCTCCCTTTGTCCTTGCTGACTAGGTCGAATGCCGCGGCTAGCCGCAAAACTGTTGCAACCCCTGTTTTTCGGGGGGGAAAAAAACGGGGCTAAGGATCATTTATTTAAAAAACCTCCCCCCACCGCACCCTGCCTGAAAAGGCTGAGCGCTCCTGCCAGTCTCGGGGTGGGGAGGGTGGGGGGGGGTCATATAAGGACATCCCAAACATGAATCCCCTCATCTGGCCCCTTCTCCAGCCTACCCTACCTCTCATTGCTGCTCTCAGTGTCGTGGTTTTTTTCCTTTCTTTCTCCCTCAACCCTTCTATCTTGTCCCTCTCGTGCCCCTATTCTCTTATTACGCCCTCGCTTCAGATGAAATCATCCGCGATCTCTCTCACATTCTTCATGTAATTCTGCCATGCCTCATTTACTATTCATTCCAATATGTTCACCACAAAAATCTGTTCTAATGCTTTATTTATTGGCCGATAGACCATTTCCCCAGGACAAAAATGCTCTTACAACATATGACCATGGAGAATCTTCACTAGCCCCACCCAAAAAGCGGTTTGCTCAATGGCACCATTTTTTTTTAAATTACTGCGCAAAACATAGTTTCTATCAGTGAGAGAAGTAATCTCATATAAACTGTACAGCAACAGTCAGCTTACACCTTCAGTCAAACTGGTTTACAATCAGGTAAAAGCGAGTGCCAGTGTAGTAACATGCTTTTTCATGGTCTATGCAACCACCAGCATGGAGATAAGACTTCTAGGAATAACATGCCAAAAAAACTGCTTTATATCAAAGTTTGATTCCAAGAAAATGCCTTTGCATTGATTTGTGATCTGAGACAGGGTTGGATGGGGTTTGATAGCTGAATTGCCATGACAAGGCTGCATTGCAAAGGTGTTTTGCAAAAGAAAACTAGCAGCATGTTTTTCTTCGAATGAATATTTTAAAGCAAGGAACAGCACAAGCTCTATGCTAGCACTCTCCACACTCTTCAGTGGAGCGTAAGGACCCAAAGTGGCACTATTTGGAAGAGAAAGTTGTCTATTGTTTGAAGTACTCTGGGAAATAACAAACCGTTCGGAATACACCAATATTACAAGGGTTGCAATGATCTCATAATGAGAACCCTCAATACCAATGATAAGCTGGACTATAGAAAATGATGTGTCTAAAAAACAATACATCCGTGTGAATGATTTGCACTGGCAAGGTCTGAGTTTTGTTCATGTCATCAGCCAGCTGTGACCGACAGTTCAGCAGAGGGTGGTTCTTATGGCTCCTCCTGCCGGGTGATTCCAGGGAACCAGCCATAAGTGAGAGATGTCCGCTCACCAAGCAGCACTGGGGTAGTGCCTAACAGTACAGGGATACAGAGTTAGCCAAATAATTCCCCTGACTCTTTTTACGTGAGTAAAATGCTCCTGATGTGGGATGCCTCCGGGTCTTACTCAGCTCACTCCATAAAACTCAGTAATCCGGCTTCGTCACACACGCCCTATTGCTCCTTCACTGGCGAGGCACACATTGCGGTATTACGTCCGTCTCCTGGTGAGTGCACTCAGTTCTGTACAGTTGATTCTTGCCTCTCTGCTGGTTTCATGGAAGTGCCTGAGCACGCTAATGCTTATGCTAATTTGTAATAGGTAGAGAAATATGCTGCATAACTGAACAATATATTATTCTGGCAATAATGCTGTGACTTAGACTGGAAATTTCAGACTCCACTGAAGGCTGTCATCTACCAAGTTTATAGGGTTGCAAAAGTGCAGCTCAAAGGCTCTAAAGTTGGATCCATTTTGCAAGTAAGCTACAGCAACCAAGGTGCGGCTGAGCTAGTGGTGGAGTTGCAGGTCTGAGAATGTAATGTTAGCAAAGTCCCAGTAAGGGAGAAGCAAGCAAGTCCATTCCTCAAGCCTCAGTGTATGTATGTAACGCCATCATGTACCAAACCGCCAAGGGTTTAATGGCACATTAGCCCGCAGCGATTTGTCTCACATATTGACGTATGAGCAGCATTTATGTCACCCATGTCATTCAATGAGAGGGTCGAGATTGAGTGACCAAGATACTCACGGCTGGCACAGCTTGACCAGGTCCTGGTCCGTGGTTCCTGGGTGCAGACCACGGATGTACAAATTTGTTTTGCTCAGCTGCTCCCCTCCCCCACTGCTGCTGTTGCTGCTGCTGTTGGTGTTAGGACTGGGCGGTGCCATCTGCTGGCTGGAGGACACATAAGCTTGCTGCAGACAGAAACAAAGGGGCTGTGTTGGTAAAGAGATGAAAAACTGGGACACAATAACAACAAGCCTTACAACATAAAGAAAAATACATTTCAAATACAATGAAGTTTCAAACAATTAAGAAAAGTTCATGATCAAAAATGCTGTTTTTTATGCATTTTATGGCACCTACATTGGTAGGATGGAAACCAAGGTGTCAACACAAATCCATACTGTAAATTTCAGTGTACGGGAGTATAGCAGATAGGTTGTTAAGGGAACCCAACAATCAACTCATGAAATCTTTTGGTTGAAATTGTAAATAATTAACACACACACAAAATGCCCCAGAAATGCTCTCTTTAGTTCCATTGAAGCCATCTAGAGGCTGCAAGAAGTGGGTCTGTAAAGGAAAGTATAGCTATTAAGACCCAATAAAAAAAGCCAACAATGATCTCACAGAAGACTGAACTGCAGCCCATATCATTAGAAATGAGATGAAAAGATAAACTTCATTGAATCCCATGGAGTAATTTGTCCACAGTGTTGCACCTGGGGACCAACTCCACTTCTAAAGCTAGAGCCTTGGTCAGGGGCACTGGTAGGTGTGTTCCTGTGGAGCATGGGGGAAACTGGAGCGCCCAGTGAAGCCCCTCATGTGCACTGAGAGAGCATGCAAACTCCATGCAAAGAGCTCCTGGCTGGCTAGGATTTGAACCCAGAACCTCCTTATTGTGAGGCATCAATGCTAACCATGGCGCCACCATGCCACCGATTAGACTCTCATCCCCTCCATTTGAGTAACCCAACATGGATGGTACCCCTCTTTCCACCAGGCCAGAAGAATATATCCTCACTGCCAAGCGTGAGAGTGAATCACTCTTCGTGAGGGTAATACTGAAATTTGCGTCCAGCTATATCATTGTTAATTTCATTAGCTATTTAAAGTTATTGTGGAAAGTGTAATGACACTCCTTAACCCTTTAACTCCTCACTAAAAAAGCAATGGCAAAGCAATGGGAAGGTAAAGGGCAGGCATAGCATACATTTACAGAAGCATTAAAATGATAAAATGCATCCTGCATCCTCCAAACCCAAGAATTCACCTAAGCCAGGCATAAAGGAGCCAGCATACCAAAACATTATTTCACTGACTAAACACTAATAGGAAATAAGCCAGTCAAACTGTTTTTCAACACATTGAGGCTCTATCAGGTGCTCCTGTCCACAGCGTAAGTAAAAGGGCAAGTCCAGAGACAGACATGCCACTAATAAGTGAGTTCCACAGTTATAACATTTTTTGTAGGACAATGCAGGAGCTCCTGCTGCCATAAATTCCCATGCAACTCTAATGTGTTTTTTGTATAGGGTGTTCATTTCTCAGGTTTGTGCTCATCACTCAAGCGAAGTTCACGTGTCATTTTACATGTTAAATCACTTTCCTTCATGTCTGAACTATGAATTGTGAAGCTCATATGTGTGTTTCAAGAGCAAATACATACACGGTGGCAACATTGGAACTACAGTAATGGTCACCTTCTGCCAGCCATTGTCATACTTGTCCACATGCACGAGACATTGCCAATATAGTTCTAACATTGCAACTCACATGTATCGACTTCGAAAATTTACAGTTGAGACAGCTCACAGTAAGGCTTGACCACAGACCTAATATTTGTCCCAATGCAAAATGTTTGAAATCTGGCAAGGGAGCCCATGGCTGAAAGATGCTATCTTGCTTCCAGGTTTAAGGACAACAAATAGAGCAACTCTATGGCTTCGCTTTTCAGCATTTATTTTCACCTGTCCTATTAGCAGTGATCATTGTTTTAGATGACCCTATGAGTACAGCTGTTTCTTTGCCCTGATATTGGAGCTTAACTGCACAGTTAAAGGGGTAATGGGAAAAATAAACATTTTCAACAGAATAAAAATGATTTGTTTTCGGTTTCAGGAAAATTCTCATAAAACAAGAACCTCATCATTGAGCATTCATGAAACCTACTTGATAAGAATAAGTATGCAGATTTATGACCATTATGAGAAATTTGCAACGTTCAATGCCTCCACACCAATGCCAACAGACAGTGGCTAAAGGTCATGCTGTGGGTTGTCTGGTGCAGGATTCCAGCAACTTGATTATTCCCTATTTAACCCACTCTCAGTACCATTCAGCCCAAGCCATTTGTTGTGCACCTAAAGCTCCAATAAAATTTTAAAAAATTAAAATTCCAGCCGTCAACCAAAGCCAGAGGGAAAGTTCAAAATACTGCATCCTCATCGGACTAATTTTGACCAAAGAACTAAGGGAAATCCCATGATAACAGCGTTACTTTCAATCACAATACTCCATAAGATGAAAAATGGTGCTGCTTATGAATATTGTATTAGACTGCAGTTCTTTTACGGTATTTTTCTCCATATTGTAGACTAGCAGATTTTGATGAAAGAACTGTAGCTACAGATCAAAAAAGAAGAAACCTGTGTCCCTATTTTTCATCCAAAAACAACACTCAAAAGCTCAACCTTGTGTTCGCATTCAGATGTGTTAAATGCTTGCTTTCAGTCAGCCATGCAAACCAGCATAAGAAATGACAACAGTTTTTGAAAAGAAAACAGATGTGCTCACTTAAATAAGTCTTACAGGTGTGTGATAAGGCAGACTGAACGAGAGAAAAGAAAAACTGCACTTGAGGAAAAATTAATCTAAAATTGATTTCAATGAAACATGAAGATGCCGTTCTTGATATGTTTCATTAAAAACTTTTGTTAAATTTATTTTTCCTGGAGTGCAGTTTTCCTTTTTTCCTTCACAGGTTTCCAAAACTGACATAAGACAGTAGCAGAACTCAGGTGCAGATGAAAACCCAGTTCACAAATTATTATTAATCAAAGTTGTACAATCCAGGTTAGTAACTGCCAGTGAGAATGTGGTACAGAAAGGAGAATCCAGAATCGTAAACAGAGTTCAGTTCAAAAGTCAGAAACCAGGTAGGCATGCCTATGCCAAATCGTAAGGAGAAATCGAAAACCCAAAAGCCAATGAGAATTCAAACACAAGGAACAGGACTGAATCTACAACCAAAGAACAAACCAAATTGTGACCAGGAATCAAAAACCACTCCTAAGGAGGACACAGGGGCCGTTTCTCAAAGCGCAGGCTGAATCCTTCGAAGGCCAAGTTTTTAAGCCACTACTACATCATTGCAGGCTGCTCCATTGTGTGGGCGCTTTCGAATACAGCTGAAAAATCTAACCTTCATCTTGCAAATCAACATGGAAATGGAGTGTAAACGAGCTGAAAATTCTGTCTGATACCAGGAAAGATGAAGGCTGAGGCTGTATTTCTTGGCTGTATTTGAAAGCGTCTTCAGAAGAAACAACCTGCAATGACGTAGCAGCCTGCGCTTTAAGAAATGGCCAGGTAAACTGGCTTAACGAATTTGCACTGGAATGAACAAAAATGGGAAAAGGAAGCTAAGGCCTAATTACATTGGGCGCAGGTGTGTGGAGCTGCGGAACATGCAGGGAGGTGTGGCTACAAGAGAGGGACCAATCAAACTATTAAAGAATGAACGAAGGGCAGTGCAGGTGCAGGAGAGAGAACAGAAAACGCACAGTAGATGACAGATGAAAGAGAATGACTACACTAATACAACAAACTGCTAAAATCAACAAGGGAACATGGAAAATAATAAATATAAATTCAAAATATACATAAAACAAAACTAAACAGATTCAGATCCTGGCAGAAAAATCCTGAAACGCTCAATGTTTCAGGTCAGTTTGGTCAATGAAATGTTCAAGCTAACTTAGCTACAGAGCATATCCTTGTGACTCCAGTACACTTAGTTAACATGTATAACAAGCAACCATATAATTACAGGAGCAAGTACAGTTCAATATAAAAAGTCAAAAGTTTCATAAAGTAAATGCTCAGCACATTGTTGTCAAGTCTGAGTCTGAAGGCCTTCCAGTAAATTCATGGCAAGCAGTTTGATATTACTCATCAGTTTCCTGACAATACCACAGTAACTTTATTCTACTAAAGAACCCTTTTCCAAAATCTCCGGAAAAAGGCAGCTTTTCACAACAGGGCAAAATGGGAGAAAACACTACATTTATAGGACTCCTAAAATCAGTGACACTACTTGCTAAACACATTTTCCAAAGCAACACAGTTCATTGCACATTTTATGCGCTTTGGAATTTCTGCTTGGCTGTGGTGCTGAATATTGGTGAAAGGGGAGGTTGTAATCACCTAGGGACTTTTTATCCATTCCCTCAATCCATATCCATTTGGCCAGTAAAAACATTTTCCCAAATAGCCACATATATACTTACACAGCATCCATAACAGATTCAGAGGCCAAAGTTTCAGATTTAAGATGTAGTTAAACATCTACATGCAGCCAATGTTTCCCTGCCCAAAAAGTGACTGATGCCACGCTAACTCAAAAATGTCAGCACAGATGTAGAAAATAATTACAGAAAAACTGCCCGTCTGTTTTAACGCCGATAATCAGCAAGTACTGAGGCAGTGGCAGTAAAAATTGCTGTGACTGAATGAAAGAGCGCCCCACAGTTCATAAGGCAGCTCTCAAAATACACGATTCCCCCATGTGTAACAAGCAAACACACACGGAGGGCAGATGGTGCCCTCACATTTTATCAGAAAAGCGTTCTTATTAAAAATGATCTGGAAAACAAGAATGGAATACAGAGAGATAAAGGCGATCCACATTCCCGCCCCACCCTCATCCAGCTGAAATGTCCCAGACACCACTGGATTTTATCCACCCCCCTCCCCATGCATTACTCATCAGGAGTGCACCAGAGGATGCAATATTTAATTATAATAGGCTGTCCGCAGGCCCATCGGGACAATGGGCAAATTTGTCAGGTCAAGAGGTGAAGGGACGAGCCCCCGCATGTTTAGAAAAACCTCAGAGGGGGGGATGAGGCTACGAAGAGAGGAAAGATAAGAATCTGGCCAGTTACATCCCGTCTGTCGGCGGCCCTCAGCCTTTTTTTTTTTTTTAATCGAGTAAAACTGAAGTGAACACTCCCTCCACCAGCACAGTCACTGCCTGGCTGCTGCAGTGACAGTCCATTTCAGCGCTCTAATCTCCTCATCAGTGAGAGCTGCTGCTTTGCCTGGAATGTCTCTCTGGGATTACAAGAGTTCCTTTGAGTTGGACACACTGAAGCAATCCTGCCCATAATTTCACCAACTGCCACCCTCTTCTGCAGCGCCTGCCCCCACCTCGCAGTCGTCAGCTGTCTCGGGAACTACACACTCGAGAATCTCCTAGAGTCCCACAGGGTTTCCCGGGCAACATGTTCCGCAGTGGCCCCTGTACAGACGCCACAATCACAGATAGTCTGATAAGAGGGATTCTGATGTGATCCTCATTTAAACTGATGATTTCTTTTTTGACTATCATTCATTCATAAAAGTACATGTGCCGGTTTGTCAAACCTACAAGACAAAACATTACATGGCAGCCATAATAAAAGGAAAATCTATTATCGCTATTTTTCTGCAAGACTCACCCCATAAAATGGAAGACCCTGCCCTTGACATTGTACATTACACATTCCATCACCAGGAAGGAGCTCCAGATCAATGCAGTCAGATGCAGGCAAGCACTAATGCATATCATTGCTTTATATGGTATATGCAGCTCAACTCCTGTCACGGCATTTTCCTGTTCTTTGCTATGCAGGCTTAAGGGCCTGCAATGGCAGCCACAACTAATTGGAGTCA